CCCCTCTTTAATTTTCTTCACAAGCATTTTCACCCAGGGAAAGTATCTTGTTTATTTATGCTTAATTATCAGCCCTCCCCTCCCTCAGAAGGCGAGCTTCCTCAGCTCTGGGATTTATCTTCTGATACGTGGTTGGCATTTTTGCAGAGCTTCTATGGGACAGGTCCTCTCTGGGCCCTGGATCATTTAGTGACAAGGAGGAAGAATGGCCTCCAAGAGTTAAGACAGCTCTCAACTCACATTGACTTTGATCAAGTAGCCTTAGACTTAAGAAAATCCAGCAGTGCAAGAACATACGAGTACACCCATCCCCCACTCCCAGATAAGACCTGAGTTGGCGCTCACTGGTCTGCACCTTCTTTTGAATGAGCAGCTTCAATATGGCTAGGGACTAAGGCAGTTAGTTAACTTTTGCTAGTGACCTCATTGATCTTATCTATCACACCTTATAATTTATTTTTGACTTACAATACTTAAGTGAACTGAAAAGGGAATTTTAAAGAAAACTTTGTTTTAGGGAAGAGTTTAGAGACCTCACAAGTTGTAATGCAGAGTACCTACCCACATATTAAATGTAACATTCAGGAAATTCTTTAGAACTGTTTCACTATTTGTACAACACTCCCTTCTCTCTTCTAAATCATCTGTCCCTCAAAAATAACAGGGAAGAATAGTTCAGAAACTCATACTCCACATTTTCTTTGAGAAAAGTTATGTATGTTTTTCCACAATTTTAAAATTTTCCTTCACATTAAAGAAAGTCAGTTCAGGAGACATCATTTTTTATTACTCTTTGAATAACCCCTTCAACACTTTTTAAAAAAATGTCCTCTATATTTCATTGTGCAAATTTTAAACATACAAAAAGTGCTGAAAAACTTATACAATACACACCCATATTCTCCCCATCCAGAATGTATCTTTTACATTTTACTGTATGTATTTTGTCACATGATCCATTGACCCACCCATTCCTCTAGCCAACCATCAGTCCATCAGATATTTTGATCATTCCAAAGTGAGTTGAAAAATAGCAACACACTGTCCACTGCCTTTCTAAACACTGTAGGATGCACACCATCAACTAGAAGTGTACATGTTCATAGTTCACTTTTTTTTTTTGAGGGACACTTTAGGAGGAAATTCACGAGTTGTAAGTGAACCATTGGATAACTTTGTGTGTACACCTGGACCACTGAAACCCCGACTGAGATGAGGAACATTGTCGTCACCCTCAAAGAGTTCACTGCTGCCCCTTCCAGGACAATCCTCGCCCCTCCTTCCCTCTCCCCCGGAGACAATCACTGTTCTGATTTTCTTCACCACAGATTAGTCTTACTCGTTCTAGAACTTCGTAACATTGGAATCATGCCATATGTATTCCCGTGTTTCCAACTGCTCTGACTGAACATGATGTTTTTGCGTGTTTTGCGTATCCACATCGTTGCGTGTTTCAGGAGCTCCCGTTCCCTTCTGAGTAGCGTTCCTGGGTGTGGATCTACTGTAGTTGGTTTAGCCATGCTCCTCTCAATAACAGCATTTTGAGCTGAGTTGTGCGTAAGTCACTTTCAATCCAGGGCCTTTTGTGAAGCTTTGCCTGCCATTTATAGGGTATCTCATTGTTATTTCCCATCCTCTACTGGGAGATACATGGAAAAACCCTCACAAGTATTTAGCCTTGTACACAGAGATTCCTGAAAACCTTATTTTGTTTCCTTAATTCTTTGCTCTTATTTCATTGCTAGTTTAAAAGGCTGTTCCTTCTCCCCTCTGTAAGTTTTTAAGTATCTTCACAGAAATGAAAGTTAGATTGCGGAACGTGGCCACTGTTGCAAGCCACGATTCTCAGAACCAGTGCCCATAAAATTATTC